CTTGGTAATAGTGACCATAATATAACTAAATTTAATATCCCTCCAGTGGGGAAAACACCACAGCAGCCCAACACTGTAGCATTTAATTTCAGAAAGGAGGACTACACAAAAATGCAGAAGTTAGTGGAAACGGAAATTAAAAGGTACAGCGCAACAAGTGAAATCCTTGCAAGCTGCATGAAAACATTTTAAAGACACCCAGAATAGAGGCTCAACTTAAATGTATCCCCCAAATTAAACAACATAGTACGAGAACCAAAAAAAAGTGCCACCGTGGCAAAACAACTAAGGAGAAGAAGCAGTGAGAGGCAAAAAGGCATCCTTTAAAAAGTGGAAGTTAAATCCTAGTGAGGAAAATAGAAAGGAGCATAAACGCTGGCACGTGAAGTATAAAAATATAATTAGGACGGCCAAAAAAGAATTTGAAGAACAGCTAGCCAAAGACTCAAAAAAGTAATAGCAAATTTTTATTTAAATACATCAAAAGCAGGAAGCCTGCTAAACAACCACTGGGGCACTGGATGATCGAGTTGCTAAAGGAACACTCAAGGATGATAAGGCCATTGCGGAGAAACTAAATGAATTCTTTGCATCAGTTTTCATGGCTGAGGATGTGAGGGAGATTCCCAAACCTGAGCCATTCTACTTAGGTGACAAATCTGAGGGACTGTGTCAGACTGAGGTGTCATTAGAGGAGGTTTTGGAACAAATTGATAAACTAAACAGTAATAAGTCACCAGGACCAGATGGTATTCACCCAAGAGTTCTGAAGGAACTCAAATGTGAAATTGCAGGACTACTAACTGTACTCTGTAACCTATCATTTAAATCTTCTTCAGTACCAAATGACTGGTGGATAGCTAATGTGATGCCAATTTTGAAAAAGGGCTCCAGAGGTGATCCCAGCAATTACAGGCAGGTAAGCCTGACTTCAGTACCGGGCAAACTGGTTGAAACTATAGTAAAGAACAGAATTGTCAGACACATAGATGAACATAAATTTGTTGGGGAAATGTCAACGTGGCTTTTGTAAAGGGAAATCATGCCTCACCAATCTACTAGAATTCTTTGAGAGGGTCAACAAGCATGTGGACAAGGGGGGTCCCGTGGATATAGTGCATTTGGACTTTCAGAAAGCCTTTTACCAGGTCCCTCACTAAAGGCTCTTAAGCAGTCATGGGACTCAGTAAGCAGTCATGGGACAAGAGGGAAGATCTTCTCATAGATCAGTAATTGGTTAAAAGACAAGAAATGAAGGGTAGGAATAAATGGTCAGGTTTCACAATGGAAAGAGGTAAATAGTGGTGCCCCTCCCCCGGGTCTGTACTGGGCCCAGTCTTATTCTATATATTCACAAAGGATCTGGAAAAAGGGGTAAAAAAGTGAGATGACAACATTTGCAGATGATGCAAAATTACTCAAGATAGTTAAGTCCCTGGCAGACTTTAAAGAGTTATAAAGGGATCTCACAAAACTGGGTGACTGGACAACAAAATGGCAGATGAAATTCAATGTTGATAAATGCAAAGTAATGCACAGTGCAAAACATAGTCCCAACTATACATCCAAAATGATGGGGTCTAAATTAGCTGTTACCACTCAAGAAAGAGATTTTGGAGTCATTGTGGATAGTTCTCTGAAAACATCCACTCAATGTGCAGCGGCAGTCAAAAAAGCAAACAGAATGTTGGGAATCATTAAGAAGGGGAATCATGTTGCCTCTATATAAATCCATGGTACGCCCACATCTTGAATACTGCGTGCAGATGTTGTCGCCCCATCTCAAAAAAAGATATAATTGAATTGCAAAAGGTTCAGAAAAGGGCAAAAAAATGATTAGGGGTATGGAACAGCTTCCACGTGAGGAGAGATGAATAAGATTGGGACTTTTCAGCTTGGAAAAGAGACGACTAAGG